CTCCCTGCATTGGATACTAGAGTCAGCGCTTTAACATAGTCTAAGGTGTTGCCATGTGGCAGGAATTGGTGATGAAACTAACAGCTAAACAAATGGGGAAGCTGAGAAGGGGCTCCTCAAAACTTGTGTGGTGCCCTACACAGTGGTAAGTAAATTTGATTGTGTGGAATGCCGTTAAACCAAAACTCCCAAAACCAAAATCCCTATGTTCAAAGGGTAAAGTTTCTTTAAATGTGACATCATGGGTATGCAGAAGTAGTAAATGCCTTCTGATCTAACTCTTTGCTAATGGTACTTGATTAGTCGTAACAGTGGTATGGTTTGTAGTAAGGCTATTCTAAAAGCGTCTTTCAGGCATAAGAGTCCAGCCTAGGGAGACAGTGTGAATTAGTAGTGCACTCTTTTTAGGAGAGTTGTATTAGTAGTGGCTTTTCCAGAGGTATAGTCACAGATGCAGGCTTGGTGCCTAACTTGCTGCATGGCTTTAAAGTGCATGGCATAAATGCTGCTTCCAAACTTGAGTTTTGAGTATAGAGGTAAGAGCTTTCTTCTTGGATCCTTCTTATTCTTAAACGAGATAATCAGCCAGTAGTGAAAAAAGTTGTGTAGTCTCTGTTCTGAAGAATATGCTGAGTAGTGATGCTGTTTTCTGCAGCATCATAGTTTCAAGTGAACAGACAGAGATAAAGTCAGCTTCTTTATAATACTCTGGGACTTTACTGCGGCTGTTTTCAGGCCATTCTAATAGCTGTTTAGGCAACCTTTTCTGAAACTGTCTGTAGACAATGAGCTAATCACACTGTGAAATACTGACATTAAAGTGAGACAAATTAGCTGCAAAAGCACACTGCTGAACGAGATCTTTTGTCAACTTCCTTCATCTGTTGAATTTTCTCTTTATGAGAAGGTGGTAACACACCCAGTTCTCCTTGTATCTTTGTCCTTGCTAATCAAAGGTGGATTTGAATGTTTATCAACAGAGAACAGCTAAGTTTCCAAATACAGCTCTTCCTTCATGTCTTCTTAAACCTCATATGCACAAAAAGATAAAAGCTCGAGTGGTGATATACTGTAAAACTAAACCATAGAGTTCAGGGACTGCTTTTCCCAGTGAAGACTTCCCAACAAAGTAGGAAGCTATTTTAGTAGCCCAGACTTCCCAAACAATGTGCTAAGACTTGATACTGCTAGACACACTCAAATGTAAACACACCATGATAGTCTGACTTTTCAAACAGAAAAATAAGTGAACTGGCCTGCTCAATTCTACCTTTCA